GGGGATTTTTCTCCTCCTATGCCTGGGAATTTTTCTTCTCCCCCTCGTCCTCCTATCTCAAGACAATGCCTTCAGCCTTTGAAACTGCATCCATTGTAAACAGCTCTGAATATTAACACAGCCCAGAGTCCTGTTGGCTTTTAAAAGACCCCCAGGGTTTCAAATTGCAGTTGCTGAGGAGGAGGAAGGTCTCCAGTGAGTAAATGTCACCAAGCTCATTCACAAAGAGTTGGAAGTTAGGCTTGCTCATGAAACTTAAAGTCCTTCACCAATGGTGTAAGTTGGAGGAATCCCTTTTGAGTTTAAAAAAAAAATAAAATAAAAAACCTGAGACAGCCAACATTATTTAGTGCTTACAGTGACTTTCAATGAATCCCTTTTCTAGATCTCCCTTGCCCGTGGATGTCACTTTAAAAATAACCACAGGCTATTTTAACCTCCTTCTGGCCCTCCCCAGCTAACAGACCTTGAGGGCTTTAGCAGGTGCACACTACTGGGCCAGGTGCATTGTTAAGTCACACAAAACCCTCCTGGCTCTCTCGCATTCCTGTCCACATTGAAAGAGAGGATGCTGAAAAGACTCTGCACCAAGGAGACACCTCTGCAGAATGGGGGAAAGGCCCTTTCATTGTGAGCACAGTGTCTGGGGGAGAGAAAGGTCAGCCAGAGGCCATCCCAACATGCTCAGGGAAGGCTGCCTGGGGAACCCAGGCAAAGGAATTAACACTGCAGGGAGGAAAAGCTTCAGGCCTAGGAGCAAAGTGGGGTGGCCAACACCCACTAGCAATCAGCTCGCATTACTCTACACTGCATCGTCTTCATCTTTCTGGAGATGAAAAATTACTGCCAACAATACACCCCAAAGTCCAAAGTTTGGGAACTCTAGTAAACAAATAGAATTATGGAAAGAGATGAACACACATCTTTTAAAAACAGTCCCTTGAAAAATGGGGCAAGAACAGCTCTGATGTATCCGAAAGGCAAGAGGGACACTGTGCCAACACAGATCATTTATGTTGGGCCCCGGGGGGCGGGGTGGTGGTGTCTCTGGGCACTCAAGAATTAGATTTTATGGCCGTAATTTTATATCAGGCGGACTTTCAAGGCAACCAATTTTATTTGCCGGAGGTTTCCCCTTACTCAAAAAAGATGTCAGAGAACTAGTAACAGACCAGTGCTCCAGCATGGACAGGGAAGCAAGGCCAGGCTTCTGACACTTGTTGCAAAGAAAAGGACTCTGAGCTCTAGCTAAAGCTCCCTAAACTCTGAAAGCCCTCGCACCGTCCCCATTTTCCCTCCGCCATGACTGTGTGTAAAAAGCTCGCTATTCCAAATCACCCTTTGCCCACGCCCACAAGTGGAAAGATGGTCAGTGTGTCCTGAGTCCTTGCTAAGTGATAGAGAGACACAAGGAGGAAATGGCAGAAGGGAACAGCCTCTGGACAACAACCTACTTAAAAAAAAAAACCACAAGAATCTCAGTTTAGGCCCTGGAACAGTTTGGTCATCTGCACTTTAAATCTAATTTGCAAAAACAGGATGGGAAGTATTGCCCAAAGCCTTAATTCACAGCACCCTACACACCTGGGCCTCCCAGCACAGCTGTAAAATTTGAAAGACAAAGGCTCTCTTTACTTCACAACTACAATGGCAACCACAGTTTGTTTACTGTCTAATGTAATAAGCACCATTGATGTGCCCAAACCAACAAGGTTTGATTTAAGGCACCTGGGTTTGGTACTGCAAACACATAAAGAGACAGAATTACACAGAGGCCCAAATCAACACATTTGTCCTCATGTGGCACAGGGTAACCACATTCTGGTGTCCTTCAGGGAATACCCTTGCTTTGAATGCCACGTGGTCTTCCATCCACACTGAGAAAGACAATCAGGGCGGTGCTTCCTCCAGGACCTCCCATCCTTCCTATCACAACGCCGCTGGTCATCACTTAGCTCCAGAGCAGTAAAGCTGGCAACACAGGGCTCAACATGATGCCACAGGTAAGAGTCCCAGGTAAATGGCATTTATAATAGTACTTCTTCAACAGCTTCTGAACCATGCTCTCAGAATCATTTCAAAGAAAGCAAACATCTGAGTTCTAAGAAGTTCAACTTCTTCTAAGGTTCTGGGAAATTGGAATAAGGCTTGGCAGTGCTTGCTGCTATTTATGAATGTGCTGGTTGGACTATGCCAATCTCACCTACGTAATGGGATGGCAGACTCAGTAGGCTCGACTACTACAACTATAAGTTATTGTGCCGAAGAAGTTATCCTTATGCCCTAGGAATGGAAGTATTTTCCCCTCTACCAGCGCCACTCCATTTCTTCTATTCAAACTGCATTTACATTCCCTATTACAAAGTTTTACTTTCCTTATGCTAGGCCTAAGAACAACTCCAAAATTAGATGCACTGTTTACAAAAGTAAAAAAAAAAAAAAAGTTCCATAAAGCCACAGGTCCCTTTCTGTCTCAAACCCACAGCTTGAACTTGATTGAACTACTGCAGTAAATCCTGTTCATGGGGTTATAAATTAGGTCAAAGCATTTTCTAGATACAATAGATTCAGAGGGTGTAAACTTGGTGAAACTACATGTTATATTATATACAGACTTTCTCCCTGCAGTCTTGCTGAATCATAGCCAGGAATATAAACGGTATAAATATCCTGATGGAAAATTCAGAATAAGACTAATGACTTAAATGGGGAAATCTGAAGTCTAGAGGAAAAAAATAAAAAAACATTAGCTTGATTTGTTTTAATCAGAAAAACACTTCACGAATATTTTTCAAAGGATATCCATTCTGAACTGAACACTGTATTGCCACATACTAGCCAGAAGTCACACTCTTCATCTCTTAAAATCTAAACAGTTAACACCAACATCAGCACAATCAAGTCTACTGAAGCTCAAAACACCCAGTTTGGTATTTACTGATCATACAATGTGTAAGAGAAAAGACTAATTTCAAAGGTATTTATGCCATGTGAAATGTTACTCCTAGGCAACAGAAAGCTCAAAAAACGACCAGTAGTTTTGCTCCAAAAAAATTAAAGGGCAAGGTAAAGTGGATCTTGTGACCAGAGGAAAGTGCAAATAACAGGACACCCTGTCCTCTCCAGGAAGTCCCCACTTCTGAACTAAGTGCCTTCCCCACAATGCCACTGACACGTGGCACTGGGAATCACTCTTCCAACAGGTGTACACTGAGGAAGTTATTTTGATTCTGCCCACATCACTTTATGTTTTTAAAAAACTACCTGAAGAGTATGTAAAGGAAAAACCACAATACCTCAGGCTGCCTGACTAAATAAAATGCTACCTAATGGCAATGCTGGGCTCTATCTCCCACGACTTGACACAGCCACTGCCTGTGTTAAAACCCACACTATGACCACAGATTTCCACTAAGTCAGTGAATTCCACAGAAGCAGCAGAATATGGAAGAGAAAACCTAACCATAACTAACGGGTCCAGCTTCAGAGCTCTGTAGTACTTGATCATCAAACAATGTGTAATGTGGTCCAAGTTAAAGATCTGGGCTCCATTTTCAGAAGCACAGGTCCTTCGAATTAGAAAAGAATTAAGTTCTCTTCTTCCCACTCCTTGCTCCAGCAGCCAGATATCCAGACCACATTTTCTTAGGTCACGCCACAGGTGTTAGTTAAAACTTGTGTCACCAGTTTCATTTCTCTTTTTTAAAAAGTGAATGTCATGCCTGAAGTTACTACTGTTCCTCTTCTATGTTCTAGGAAAGACGGCCAATTATTCAACTGAAAAGGCCTACTCAAGCTAGGCCTTTTTTGGAAGGCACTAATAGTTCTGCAGAGATGCTAATTACTGATAACTGGACAGGATTTTGACTCATGGACCAGACTGTTTAATAGTTTTTAAAAGCTGTTATAGTCTACCACACTTAGAAAAGTCTAATGTATTTTTTCCTGCCAAATCTCCTGTAAGAAGTGCCCCACTAAGTTCTATAGGCCAAAATCCTGACAACACAGAAGAGAGTCTCTTTTGGGTGAAGCAAACTCTTAAATCAACCAAGTCCCTGGTACCCTCTCCTGAAGTAGCACTACTCCAAAACTAATTTGCACCATTTATAGAGAAATGCTAGAGAGTGGCCCCACCCCACTGGATCATCAAGCCCAGCAGGGCCCCTAGGGAACAGACAGGAAGGGTCTGGAACACAGTTCCTTAAATTGCCTACCAGGCAGAAAAGGGCAAACTCCAAGCAGTCAGAGGTTTCCAGGAACTCTCAAAGTCCCCTTACTCAGGGGTCCTCCAGAGAAGTCTGCCTTCTGCCCCAGCGAGAGCCAAGTCAGGCCACCGTGGTCCTCGGGGATGCAAAGGCGGCTACACACTCTCTAATAAATAATGAAAATGCAATACTGGAGCCAAAAGTTACCTTCATTCATTACCTACTGGAAGGCCAAGGAGCTCAGACACCACAAACTTGGGTTACAGGAGAGGAAAAAAGGAACACATACACAAAGACCCCCAGACTTCCTCACACTCTCCCCTCCAGATGTTTCCCACTCTCCACCCACACACACAAACACCTCACCTTCAGACTTTCATTCACATTCTCTCACCTCCAGACACCAGACACCCACTCACTCGTCACTGCCAGATCGCCCTCACAGCCTACACACGTCACTCACCTCCAGGTCTGCATGACCCACGTTCGCTGACCTCCAGACCCCCCACAAGGCACACTCTTTTCTCCTGAAGACCCTCAAGACCCACGCTCGCTCACCTCCAAACCCTCAAGAGGCACACACTTCCCTCCTGCAGACTTCTCACGCACGCCGTCTCTCCTCCGGACCCCTATGCACGATCTCACCACCACAAATCACGCTAAGTTTTCCAGGCCATACAACTTGACTCGCACACAACTCAACCCGCACCCGTTTCCCAGATAAGAACCCCTGCCGCCCCTTCCCCAAGTGACAGCGCCCCGGGGCGCAGGGAGCGGGGAGAGAGCGGCACTCACAGGCTCCGCGTCCAGGCGGGCAGGTCCCTCGGCAGCGCCGCCAGCCCGCGCCCGCCGCAGTCCAGCGAGTCCCCAGCGCAAGTGCAGGCAGCGGCGCAGGGCGCTCGCGGGCCGGCCTCGGCCGTTGCCGGCTCCAGCCGAAGCAGCAGCAGCAACCAGAGGAGGAGAGGACAAGGCGAGCGGCGCGGGGCCCCGAGCGCTCCCCGGACCGGACGCGCCATCTTGTCTGGAGCGCGCTGCGAACTCCGGGCGCTGGGGCTGTGAGGTCTGGGACCTCCGCCGGCGCAAGAGGGCCCGCGGGTACTCAGCTTCGCACTAGGCTCCGCGCCGGGACATGGCCACTGGCACAAGTTCTCTCCGCGGCGACGACTCCGGCACTCAGCGGGCCCCCGGTGCCCGGGCTGCTCCGCAGCGCCCGGAGGGGGCCGCGATCCCCGCGCCCATCCGGGCCGACCCGCCAGTGCTCGCTGCGAACCCCACAGATCCGGGCAAGGGGTGCTCGGCCGGCGCTCCACGTCCTCCCGCCACGCTCCTGGCCGGCTTCTACGCTCCTGGCCGGCTTCTGAGCTCCCGCGCACGCCAAGTGCCGCCGCCGCTGCAAGGACGGCGCTCAGCCTCGCAGCCTGAGCTCTGCGCCCGTGGGCATCTTCCTCGCGGCTCCGAGCACCCAGCAATAGACCCCAGGCTGGACGGCGCTGCCACCCCCGCACTGCTTCAAGGGCCCCGTGCGCCTAGCCGTACAGACACCCAAGGCAGAGCGCGCGCCCGCGCGCAGTTCCGGGCAACACACGGCTCCTCCGCGCAGCGAGAGCCTAGCCGACCTCGTAGCCGAACAATCAGCCAGCCGCTCGCAGCTCGCGTCCCTGCAGCCCAGCCCGGGCCGGTTCCCGAGGCCCCGCCCCCGGCCGCTCGTCTTCACACACCCCCTGGGCTCCTCGCTCCGCAGCCTCCCGCTGGCCCACGTTGGATGCATTGCAAAGGCGCCTCGCCACGCCCCCCGCCTGCTGCTCATTGGCTGCTGGAGCCCCACGGCAGCCAGACTGGGCGGCCATTGGAGCGCTCATCACTATCCCGCCCCCTCTTCCCTCTACCCCGCCCCGCGCTCTTTTCCCACCCAAGGTGTGAAGGGCGGAGGGATTGGGAGGGGAAAGGGAAAGACGTCCTCCGGCTCTTAAAGGGGACGTGCAGACTTGTTGGAGAAGGCGAATGCGGACTGGGAAGAGGAGTAAAAATATGCCCTCTAGGTCTACGGGAGGAGAGAAAATTGGTTACCAGGGTAAAGCCCCAGCTTTGGAGCTGTCTGGCCCCAAGGTTCCTTTCCTCCTTCCCAGACTGCAAATAGGGCCAGGGATTTAGAGTTAAAGCAAATCTGCACCCGTTTTCTAGGTGCCCTCTGGGAGCAAAGACACAGATGTAAAACTTCACAAATTTCCTACTGATTGGAGCTCCTTTAGTTACTTCATTAGGGGTGGCAGCCTTTCTCCTCTCACAACCTAACGCTCCTTTCTGCTTCTGACTTGTTTTTGACCTCTTAAATCCAGCAATATGTCCTTGATTACCAAAGTGAATGTGTACGGCAGAAACCAAGTCTCAAAGGTGCACACACTCCCACTCCTACCCCCACCCCGCGCCCTAGTTAGCTGAAGGGTACTTTGGGAAATACTCCAGCCTTCCACAAAGGGGTTTGTTTGTTGGTTTGTTTGTTTAAATCAGAGTTTTTTAAAGCCAGTTTTCAAGAAGCCATAGATGGAGTACTCCTAAGAGAGTAAAATGAGAAATAATTGTTACAAAGCTTCTAACTCTGATGCTTATAGTAAGGCAGGAACATAGCAGCCGAGTGTTATGACAGTGCATTGAAACAGTAAGGCAGGCGCCCACGGGAAGGGTGGGGGGCACACACAGTGGAAAAGGTAAAAGATTAGCACAGTAATATATAGCTGCCCCTCTGGGCACTTTGGTTTACTGGTGTCTCATGTTCCTTCCCAGGAGTATGCAAGTTTCTAATATAACTGCACACGTTGTCAGGAAAATTAAGCAAGTCAAGTCTGTTGAAAAACATTTGCTCCAGCAAATGAAATCTGACTTCTGTTTTATGAAAACAGAGGGGAGGAGATGTTCCTCAGGAGGAAAAAGCAAAAATGTTTGAAGAGTTTTGTTTCATTTTTAACCCATTTCAAGGAGTTTGCTTTAATTAGGATGTTAAGCTTTCCCTCTGCGGCAAGAGCGCCTCTTTTCTTTAACCAAACTTGGGTTTGGGCTTGGTAATCAAGTGATTGCTAGTTTCTTCTTATTCCTCCTCGCCCTCTTTTTGCTCCTCCCCTTTTTCCTGATTCTGTTATGCTATCGATAATGGTGCCTCATATCTCTAGCTCTCTTTCCCCCTCCCTCCTTCCTCTCTCTCTTCTTATGCATCATCTCAGCAGTGATGCCCAAAGCCATGTTCAAATATGTGTGTAAATCAATCCAAATATGCTTCCCAAAAAATGGTATCAGAAAAATGCTGCACCTGACCCAGTCTGTACGGTGCTTTCACCAGCTCTTATGTTTCGTTTGTAACCCACATGAACACACACCTTCCATCCGGACAGGAAGAAATAGATCTCTTTGTTGTAATGCCTTTTGGTAAAAGAATACTAATAAGCAGAGAAATTGAATTTAAAGGACCCCAAATTAATGAAGTCTTCTGTGTTAATGTTTCTTAAATTTTCCAAGGCCAAAGAACACCAAACAGCAATTTAATGCGGAATACCCATGAACATTTCCTTAAACAAAACTGTCAGATTCTCCTGCCCACCACCAATGAAACAGCATATGCACCAAAAAGAAATTGAACTCACTGAACTTGAGCTGCTAACCTAAAATTATTCTTCAGGTTTGTTCCATTATTTGTATCATAAAATGGATTTTTCTTGTCAAGTGTTTTCCAGATGCTTGAGGTTGTGCCTATATGATGCTTTTGAGGGACAGGAGAGTTCTCGAGGACAGTATGTGAGAATCCACAAGGGAAGGGTGTGCCCACAACTCTGAAGCATCCCCTGTGGGCTGGTTACCACGCTGCTGCCAGAGAGGAGGATTCCAAAGCTGAAGGAGCTCTTGGGGGGACTGGGCCCCTGAGCCTTGGCAGTTCCTCTCGTCTACAGCAGAGCATGAAGTCATGTCTGCTCCCCATACCATGTATGGAAGTTTGCCCACATACAACCTGCTTGTGATTGAAAGGAGAGTGTGGCTGGAGCTCAGCGATGCCGAGCTCAGGGGAGAATTTCTCTGTAGCAACAGCCTAAGATCAGAGAGACCTGACCGACACCAATGGCCAGTTTCTAAGCAAGGCTTTGGTCCTGCTTATAGAATAGCCAATTGTGGTCCATTCAGCACAGAGCAACAGTTGATACCGGCCCTCCAGGTCCTCATTTCCCTCCACTACCAATTTTTTAATTTTGATTAGGCACTCATTTCTTGAAGGGATCATACAGAGACTTTAGGTTTTCCAGTTTGTTTTAATCTACCAGAGACAGAACTCCAGGGCCAGCATGGAATCAAATCCCCAGTGGGAATGACTATAGGTCTCTCTTAAATGTAGAAGCCCTAGCAGTTAATCATCTTCAACTCATGGCAAGAGAGGAACCGAATATTTAAGTAGCCCGAAATCACCAAGTGGGGAGAGAAACAAATGACAAAATAACAGGAAAGCAGGTTGATCACAGGGATTTTTTTTTTTAATTACAAATTCCAGGGGACTAAATTGTGGCAGTTTGTTACAGTTCTGGGTGGTGATTATTGGCGCTTTTACAGAGTGCTGGGCTTCAGAGATGCGTTCTTACTGTTGGAAGAGATTTCACTTAGGTTTAATACATTAGAAGAGCAGCCGGGCAGTATTCAGAGGACTTGGACTCTAACCAGCCTTATTATCCATGAAGTCTTTGCCTACTCGTTTCCTTTCTTTAAGCCTCAGTTTTCTCAAATGGAAACACCAGTAATGGCACTTCTGACCTGAGGGCTAAAACAGTTAAGGAAGGATCATTTTGATATAGGATACAAGGGACTTGAAACTGTTTAGAGCTACACATATCTAAGACTTATTTTGAAAGTGTTATTGAATTTGAACTCTGAAAAAATTGAGTTCATATACATACTATAAATGGAAAATCTTAGTAGGCACTTTTAGCATAGAGTTTTGTTGTTGTTGGTTTTTTTTCCAGGAATGCCACAAAGAGTTAATAATTACCTATAAAACCCCTGGAGACTTGCAAGGTGATGACAGCCTTGAGTTGAGCCTGTTTTGTATCTCTCTTCCAAGGAAAATAAAGCTGTGTACTCATTAACTCCTTCCTCGCAATAATCTTGTCAAAGAGATGGATTGGTGGAGAAGGTAAGGGAGGAAGCTTGGTGAGTCCAGGGATGGAACGTAAGAAGAGATAATTTTGAGATTTCTCTGTTGCCTATTCCCAGGTTTCTCTTTGGTGGAGGTAGGGAAAGGTGTGTTTTATTTGTGCAAGCGCTGGCTATTGGAATATTGGGTAAAGCCCAACCAGTGCCAAGCTGCTCCTGCTGCATTTCCACAGCAAGAACGGCTAATGCCTTCAGCTCAACTGGGACCCTGCACACGTCCCTACCATCTTCTACAGAGCATCATCAACCAGGGGCCAAAAACCATTGGAGCCCACCTTCCGACACAAACTAGGACCTGCACACTTGTCCTGGACTTGTGAGTTTGTAATTTTAATTGGCTCACTGAAAGGATAAGGAAAATTTTTATGAAAGCTATGAGCATTTCAAAATCCTGAGATTCTGGAGTGATGGTAGTTTAAAAGGCAGACTCCTAGCTCCAGTGATGTAGAGATGGACCAATTACATCATCACCAGAGACAGCACCTCTCACCCCTAATCTGTTGCCTTTCCAATTGTCACTTGGAGCAACACACAAAAGAGGACAGGGGTGGGAAAATTTACTGCCAGCAAATGAGAAACAATACTTCAATGTATGTAAAGAACAGCACATGTATCATAACTTACAATAATAATCTTCATGAAGTCATATACCTTATATATTTCAAAGAAATGTCACATCATAACAACAGCTGTCATTTACTTAGCACTTATTAGTATACTTCACGTGGCTGAGTGCTTTACATACTTTTTCCATTGAGGTAGAAGTTGAGAAAAATGCCCAAGCCCACACAAACTAATAAGTGACAAGGCCAAGATTCCAAGCCAGCTCTGTGGGTACCCAAGATCCATTATGAC